GGCGGGCCGCGCCGCGGGCTCCGCGCGGGGAGGGGGCTCCATGCTGCGCCGCCCGCCCGCGCTGTAAACACGCCGGGCGCCGCCCCCGCCGCTCCGCGGCCCTTCGAGGCGCATCACCGCCTCCCTCGGACCCGCGAGCGGGGTATGAAGCTGCCTCAGGGCCCGGGCGCGGTCCCCCGTCGGCTCTGGGCGGGTTTTCAGGACAAATCCGAGCTCGTTTCGCCTTTGGGGGAAGCGGCTGCTGCCCCTCAAGGGCCCCCGCGAGGGTCCCTGGCTGGTGGCAGAGGGTGTAGGGACGGAGCTGCATGGGTCCTCATCAGGCCTCACCCTCATCCCACTTATGCCGCCAGTCCAGTAACGACGCTCACCCCCAGGGGCGTGGGCCTCTCACCTGGACCGCCAGGGAGATGGCATTGCTCCTGCTCAGTGGTAGCAACGTCACATCCAGAGCCCTGTCAGCCGGGCAGAGTGGACCGTCTGCTTGAGTTTGCAGACTGCCTGAAACCAGCCGGCTGAGAAGGGTGGATGAACCCTTCTGCCCACTCAAAAAACAAAGCTGGTCTGCTGCAGACATGAGCCTTGTTACTGCCCCGTCGCTTCAGCGCTTGCCTGTCCAATGGGAGAAAAAAAAATCTGCGCTGTATTGAAGATGGAAGGGTACCACCAAATATTTTAAAACCTGTAATCTGTAGGCTAGACTTTCTTGTGTTTAATTTGTGAAAATTTTAATTTCTTTAGTTTCAGTGAAACAATCCCAATTTCCAGTCTGCTGTCAGATTGCCGGAGAATCCTTAGGCTTTAAGCAGGATATATCCATTCACTTTTTGAATATGGCTTTGGCAGTACTTTTTAATGACGACATTTTGATGCTGCAGATCTGGAGGTGATTGTTTAGAGGCTGGAAATGACTTTGGATTCTAGGAGATATTTGAAATCAAATCAGTTTAAAAAAAAAGTAAAAAATTATTTTTAATATTAACAATTTAGCTTGAAGGATCAAGTGTCTGTAACTTTCCATGACTAAAGAAAGAGGGCTGAGTGTTTCTAACTTTTACTTTTTTACTAAAAGGGCCACATTTTCAAACATGGTCATGATCTGCTACAACAGGGGTTTCATAGTTTCATGGCAGCTAGGGTCAGGAGGGACCTGAACAGATCATCTAGCCTGACCCCCTGCCAGAAGCAGGAATGAATGCTGGGTTCACAAGACCCCAGACAGGTGATCATCCAACCTCCTCTTGAATTTGCCCAAGGTAGGGGTGAGGACCACTTCCCTGGGAAGCTGGTTCCAGATTTTGGCCACCCTAATTGTAAAAAATTGCCTTCTGATCTCTAACTTAAACCTATTCTCCATCAGTTTATTACCATTGTTCCTCATCACCCCAGGTGGTGCTGGAGAGAAACGGGCTCTACCTATTTGCTGTTGATCTCCCCTGATGAGTTTGTAGGTAGTCACCAGGTTCCCCCCCCCCTCAGCCTCCTCTTGCCAAGGCTGAACAGGTTCAGGTCCCTCAGTCTCTCCTCATAGGGTCTGTTCTGCTGCCCTCTCACCAAGCGGGGGGGCCCTCCTTTGAACCCTCTCCAGGCTGGCCACATCCCTCTTGAAGTGCAGCACCCAGTTCCCAATCTTTTTATGCTGAAAACCAGCAAACCATGGACTGAAAGTGTCCACAGACTGGCAAACCACTGACCAACAGTGCTAGCCAACCCTTTTTTGCCAGTCCATGGTCACTTCTGGTGCAGCACCCAAACAATCCTTCGCCGCCTGGTACCAGGTCATGGCCTGGGGTTTGGGAACCCTTGCGCTACAGAATAAATAATCTGGGTTCCTTACAAGAAGATGCATTTAGTATAGCTCACTAGATAAAAGCTGTTAATATTTGGCCTTTAATCTGTAATCATATAGTCTTATCCGCTATAGGAAATTTATGATATAGTTTAATGCTAACCATAGTATTTCATTTAGTAATTCTTACATTCAGTCTGTAACTGAAAAGGACCCTGTTCAGTTTAAAGACTTAAGACCAGAGGGAATGTGTCATCACTTAAATTACTCACACAGTGAATGTCCCTCACTGCTAAGTTTGTACCTTATTTATAAAACTTTATACATTCATTTTGTGGCCGTATAGTCTTGCTCTGCATCTGTTTGCTAAATTAGAGCTCTTGCTGATCAGATTTTCACTCTTTTTTCTCAATATGACATAAGTACCTTTTTATATTGAATAAGCTAAATAAGCTTAGTTCCCTGCATATCTGTTGTAACTCAGATTTTCTAGACTCAACTTTGTAGCTTTTTCATAACCCTTTTGAAATTGACATTCTTTTTAGCAGTGTGAATGGCCTTGCTAATACTGTACAGTATATAGAGGTGATTCCTTTTTTCTTCAGTTTTTCTCTGCAGTACATCCAGGAGTCACTTTGGCCCTCTTTAACAGTAGTGTTTGAGTTGCACTAAGACAGGGGTGGGCAATTATTTTGGGTGAAGGGCTGCTTACTGAGTTTTGACAAGCCATTGAGGGCTGCATGACAGGCAGCCAGGGGCAGATAACTATTAATTTTCTAAATTTCTTAGGGGCCCCACAGGCCAGATAGAATGGCTTGGTGGGCTGCATCTGGCCCGTGGGTCGCATTTTGCCCACCCCTGCACTAAGCTCATTAGTCATCACCTCCTCAGGTCCTTCTCAGAGTTGTTCCTTTCCAGGGCCTTCTCTCATCCCCCTCAATTATGACCCACAGTATCTATTTTTAAATGTAACCTTGGATTTGGCTATGTTAAAATATTAAAATATCTATTTGATAAAACTTGTTATAATAGAACAGGTAATATTGGAGATGTCTTGAAATCTAATGGAAGAGTGGATAGAGGACTCTTTCAGTAAGGAATTAGAGGGTGAAGATGAAGTTACTGGTTTTCTTGAAAAATAGGTCTTGTCAAACTTTGTTTATAAAGTTATGTCACTAAAGTAATGTGTTTAACTACACAAGTCATTTTTGTCTCAGTATTGAATAACATTTTTACTCATCAGAATGGTACAAAACAGTGCATATGACAAAAGGATAACAAAATCAAGACTAAATGATGGATCTAAAATATAGATTAGTCTTGAATTGCCATTAAATGGAAATGTTTTAGTTGGATACTATAGGGATCACTTACTTTTCTTAGTGATCCAGTGGTAAGTGTAAACCCATTAGTCTTTGTGGCATCCGATCACTTTCTCTAATTGATTGTTCCAATTGCTAAGTGACATGGTAAATAATTATGACAACTTAAATTGCTTTGCAAATAGGATGTAAACATGCATTTTTTAAATCAAAGGCAGCAAGGCTATTGCTGGACACATTGAGTTCTGATGTCAGCACTTCAAAGAAATATTGAAAAAATATAATGAATTCAGGGAAGCAGTAAACAATGAATCAAGGTCTGGAATACCTGGCTCATGGTGAGACTTAAGATTTTCGAATTTCTTTATTGAAGAGTAAGAGGCAACTTGATCAGCCAACCCCCCCCCCCCCCCAACAAAAAAACAAAAAAAACTTAAGTTGAAGATTTTTGCTAGTAAAGGCAGACTGATTGACTGTCCAGGAGTGGAACCTAGACAAATTCCAAATTGGTGGGAGGGATAGATTTGGAGGGTGGGGGAAGGTAGTTAGCCAGTAGCACAGTTTCCTAGATATGTAGTAATCTCATTCATTTAGTATTTTCATCAAACTTGGTTATCTTACTAAAGGATGATTTAACTTGATACAGGTATTTTGGATGAACACTATTGCCCTAGTGTTCTGCAAGGAGTTAACCTAGTTCTAAATGATCAAAACATGAGCCATTCTTGATCTTTAATATCTAAATGTTTCAATAGTTGATATTTGCTGTTACAATGTTGTTAGACTGCTAGAGAGATGAGTGCCTCTTTTAGACAAGTGATTGTGTAGCAATAGAGTCAGCTTTTTAGAACAGTGGTGCCTGATGGTTTTTTGGCCTGTGGTGCCAGATTTGCCTAGAAACCTGGTGGGGAGGAAGTATTGGCACTTTTAATTAGCACCCCTCCCCTACCACCAGATTTCTAGACTGTGGGGAGATGCAGGTGCTGGATCTAGGCTGGGGATTGAGCACTTCTGTTTTAGACTAACTATTTGTGTCAATCTCGGGGATAGATTTTGAGGAAATCTCTGCAGTGAACTATTCCTATTAATCTCAGTTTTTTGGGTACTATTTTTGAAATGGCACAAGAGCCCTTAAAAGCCATTGTGAAATGTTACAGAATAGATATTGAGTTCCACTTGCATATAATTTCTAATATTGTTCAAAATACATTGTTGTTTCTTAACAAGTTTCTTAGAAGCTTCAAGTGAAAGAAAACTGAAGTGTGGTTGATGGCCAGGTATTTTGTGGTCCAGAAGCTTCCACATCAAACTGAAGTTAGTCAGAAGTGACTGTCACTAGTTATAAAGCTCAGTTATGCACACAGACCAGTAGATGGAAAATATCTTGATGATCAGCATACAGTCCTAATTTTTCTGTGTGTTTGTTTTAGTGGTTGAAACCAGTTTCTGTTAAAACACTGATTTTAATAGATTTAAAGGGAGATGGTTGCATCTTCACCTCTTCAGTGCTTTAATACCACTGGGTGTATTTACATGTACAGTTAGCATGTAGCAATAAACTCCAGCACG